TCTAGGGTTCCACTGTTGGAATGAGAGAGCAGCAACTGTTTTCCATCTTTTGGTCTCTCTTATGAAGATTCACATTGCCTGGCACACAGTAGGAGCTCTCCCTGGGCTCAACCCAATTTACCCTCTTGCTATTCTTTAAATATGGCAACCTCACCCCCCAGTTCAGGGCTTCTGCACTTGCTGTATTATCTGCATGGCATACTCCTCCCTGTTTTCACCAGGTTGCCTCCTTATTCTATGCAAGAGTCACCTCCCCAATTTATAGATGCTTCCAGTCACTCTCTGCAAATTGATATATAGTATTTCCTCCATAGCGCTTACTGTTCTCTAAAATAATCTTATCTGTTTAAATGTGTGTGTTTACTGAATGTCTCCTGCATTAGAGTGTAGATTCCATGAGAGTAGGGACCAGGCTTGTCTGTTTCACTTCTGCATCCTGAAGAGTTAGATCAGCAGCTGGCACCTTATAGGTGCTCAATAAATATTTATTAGTATTAAGATAGTTTATTCCTAGAATAAACTCAACTTAGTTGTAGTGTAGTTTTTATTCCCACACTCAATTAGATTTGTTTTGTTGAAATTTTATTTAGGAGTTTTATGTATATATTAATCAGTGGAAAGGATCTATTTCCTACTCTGAAATCCCCCTCTGGTTATTTTCTATCTAGTTATTCTGAGTTGGGGAAGCATTCCTTGTTTTCCATTCTCTAGAAGATTTTGTATAAGATAGAAATTATCTAGCCCTTGAGGCTGGCAGAACTCTCACTAAAGCCCTTTGGGTATGTTGTTTTTCTTATGGGAAGACTTTACATGACTGCTCCATTTTCTTAATAATTTTAAGACTATTCAGGCTATTTCTTTTCTTTTCTTTTCTCTTCTTTTCTTTTCTTTTTGGATAGGTAAGGAAAGTCCTCCCCTACCCTTGGAACTTGACCATTTCATTTAAATTTTTGAACAAAATTAATTATAGTAGTTACATCTGGAGTTTTTGTGCTCTATGATGGATTGATGTATTCAATATATTATTTAAAATCATGTAAAAGGTCCACCATAGACCTAATGATGACAGCGTGTTTTAAATCAAGAATTATGATTAATCAAATTTGGTGTATTCAGTTTCCATTGAAAATGCATTATTTGCTGAAAATATGAGTGACTGAATCTATCTTGGTGCCCAGGGGCAGATACTCCCCAAAGATGAATCTTGCAGGTCCCCAGCAATACAGACAAGCCTTGATGGGAACTGTCCAGTCAACTCAGTCTTATATCTTTTTAAAAATATATATTTTTATTGAGAGGAAGGAAGAGGGAGATAGAAACATCAATGATGAGAGAGAATCATTGATTGGCTGCCTCCTGCACGCCCCACACTGGGGATCGAGCCCACAACCCGGGGAATATGCCCTGACTGGGAATCAACCGTGACCTCCTGGTTTTATAGGTCAACATTCAATCACTGAACCATGCTGGCTGGGCTCAGTCTTACATATTCTCCCAATTCAGACTATGAAGGTCTTGAAAGCTCTCTCTGCTGTATTCCACAGGTTGAATGCTGGGCCTATAACACCCCCCAATATTAGCTCCCTATTTGTTGGGAGTTAGGAAAAAGCCACATAATTTTTCCAACAGTAGTTTCCAGACACCAGAGGAGAGTGAAGGGAATCCTGAAACAGAGCTGAATTAAAGACAGCCCTGTGGCATGACGGTCCTCTGCCAATGAAATCACTATGGGACTTAATATATGTCTAGGTCATCACCATGCTATAAGGATAAGTGGATTAAAAAGAAAGCAATTTCTGAACAAAAATGGTGAAAAGTTTGCTAGTAAGGAGAGGATGGAGATTCAGGAACCTATAAATTGATGTCAGCTGAGCATTCATTGTGGGGTGTCTGGCAAATGGATTTACTATTTTTCCAACTGTAATAAAGTATTACAAAATTGCTTCTATGCAAACAATTGTTTAAAAAGGGTCCTTACATCAAACAGTGCAATTCGTGTGCTTTTCAAGCAATCACAAAGCTGGAGACTAACTTAGAAGTATTAGAAGTAATTTTGCTTGGAATCATGCTGAATACTAAGATTGAGGTGCTCTTTCCTCCTCAACTCCCTCTCTCTTTCATCAGTCCTTTTTTTTTTTTTTTAAATCCTCACCCAAGGATATTTTTCCATTGGTTTTTAGGGAGAGTAGGAGAGAGAGGGAAAGACAGAGAGAAATATCGATCTGAGAGAAACACATGGATTGGTTGCCTCCTGCATGGCCCTGACCAGGGCCTGGGCTGGGGAGAGCCTGCAACCAAGATACATGCCCTCAACCAGGATCAAATCTGGGAACCTTTGGTAGGCAGGCCGATGCTTTATCCACTGAGCCAGTCTGGCTAGGGCGGGATCTGTCTTTTAATGCACCGACACAACTTTAGTTTTTGTGGGGAAAGGGTAGAGGGAAGACAGGGTAGGGACTTTTGAGACAGTACTGTGAAGGGAGGCAGGTGGGTCCAGAAATGAAAAGATGGAAATCATTCAATTAAACTACACCATCTTCATCTGTAAATAGGGATTAAAAACGTATGCCTGTCCTGACAGGATCCCAGGGGGAATGCTGGGCTACTTGAGAAAGCTGCATATAAAATTCCAGCTCTACTAGACTCTCTCTATCTTCATAAAGTCTGTCATAGGAAGCCTCATCCTTTCACTTTATCAGGACCACAGGGGGGAAATTATATGAATTCTGCTGGTGGCATAATGAATTTTTCTGGAAAATGGGGTTAAGTCAAGTTCTTTGAACGTTTTTCTACCCTGAACACCCATATGAATTAAGTCACCTTTTCAAGTCCTTGCACTTAGAAGATTCTATAAGACTAACTGAAGAATAATGTTGCAAACAGTAACATTTTATCCTCTGATTGAAAGAGGCTGTCCAAAATATACAAAAATAAATTTGCATTAACTTTTTCAAACTTCTAAAAGCTCCTTAGGACAGGAGGCAAACAAAATGCCTCCAGGTCACCAGCATTTACTGGCCCCACAAGCTTCTGGATTCCTCACGATTCTGCCAAGGACTCAACTGGGGTCTAATAAACTGGGCATTGAACACCCCATCACCTTCAGTTACTAAAGGCTATTGCAATTGTCCCGTTTTACAGATGAAACTGAGGTATGGCTTGGTAGAGGAGAGAGAGAGAGAGAGAGAGAGAGAGAGAGAGAGAGAGAGAGAGAGAGAGAAGGAGAGAGAGAAAGAAGGATTTTCTCATTATCTTTAAAGAAAATATTAAAGTAACTAAAAAATGATCTACTTCAAAAACGGTGTTTCCTTTAGGGCCAAATCGTTTGATCTCATCTTTGAGACCAAGAAGCAAGACAAGTATTTTATTGTAAATTAAAACACCTCCCCGCACCCCATTCCCGAGGGCATCAGTCACAGTGGTCTCAGCATTCCAAGCTGAGATGGCGAGAGCATCTGCTGGAGCATATAAATCCGGAGTCCCTATCCATTGGTGGAGGAAAGCCTGGAGAAGACACCGCCTGTACAGTCCCTGGAAGACGTCTTCTTTGACCCCGGGGTCAAAAAGATTTATTACTTCCTCGGTGAGGGAGAAACCTCAGGCCAGCAGAACCCGAGAGCCGCGAGTAGAAAGCCTGAGGGCGGCGCTCTGCGGCCTAGCATTTCCGCGCGGGTGCGCCATGGGTTTCCGGAGGGGTCGGGCGGTTCCGACCCCTAAAGAAGAGCAGAGTGGGCGGTCGCTGGGGGATTTCTACTTTACCAGAAAGCAAAAATGTGCAGATGAGCCCGGCAGCTGCACGCTGAATCAAATTACCCAGAGCCCGGGCGCCCCAGCGCTGCGAACCTCGCGTCCGCACCCGAAGCTCTGCGCACGCGTGGTTGAGGCCTCCCCCGCGCGATGGCCACCAGAGCAGCCCCGCAGTAAATACTGGCCCACATCTCCAGCCCTCAGAGCGGTGCGGCGGCACTGAGAGGGGGCGGGCGCAGGACCCGCGGCGGAGGGCAGCGCAGCGAAGGGGAGGAGCCCCAGCGACAGACGGCGGCGCGCACCAACCCGGAGCCGCCTGGCCGGTGCCGCGCCGAGGCTGGCCGGGGCGTGTTGCAGGCGCTCGGTGTAGGGGCATCTGATAGCTGCATCTTCCCTTTCGCGCGGCGGCTGCGGCAGCGGTGCGGGTTTCCTCTGCCCGGATACCTCGTGGGCCTGAAGCGGCTAGTGCCAGGGCAAGGGAAAGCTGCGGCCCGCGCTTTTTAGCCGAGAGCTCTGTGTATAGGATCCTTCCGGGCCAGTCGGGAACTGAGGAGCGGCGGGGGCCGACTATGCCCGCCAGAGCATCCTCTACGTAATGGAAGAAGCCGCTGCTGCTGCAGGGTCGCGGTGCGCCCCATCCACTGCCGCCAGAGAGATGGGTAGAGTCGGGGCGCGGAGGCCAAGAGCGAGAGAGGCGGAGCCGCTTTGCCCAGGGCTGGGTCTCGTTTAAGCCCTCTTCCCTCAACCTCCCCCAGTGGGCATCGGAGCCCGGAAGGAAGCTGCTGTCCAGGCGCCCTGGGCTCAGCGGAGCGCGGAGGAGAGCTCCTGGCCTGGTGAAAGTTTCCCTTCCCGTCTCAGGGCGCCCGCTTCCCGGAAACTGCCCAAGGCTTGGGCTTCCGAATGCCGTGACACCCCCTGAGGCACGGGGACCCCCAGCGTAAGACAGCGCGTGAGAAATCGAGGAACGAATAACAACAGCAGGACAGACCTCCGAGCCGCGATCCCAGGCCGCTCCTGGTCGCGCCCGCGGCTCCAGGTGAGCTGGGGAGCCAGGCAGACTGGAGGATGGGTGGTACTTAAGCGGAGGCGGCAGCTGGGAGGAGGACTGAGGCGCACCAGTTTACTGCGCTTACCCACGCAGGTCTTTCTGGGAGCCGCTGCCATGGGAGAGCCAGTCCTGGGAGCCGAAGAC